GCAAATTCCCAGAGGTTTCTGAAATTGCCGGCATCCTAGGCAAGATGACTGCTCCCACCCACCCGCCCACCCACCCACTAATAAGACATAATGCCGTCCTATTTTTGGTAACAATTAAAGGGCCTCCCGGTGAAAGCAGAAGCTGTTTATTTTCTGTTACATCACTTCTCGGTGCCTTCGAAGGCTGCTCTGTGCTCAGTGTTTTCGTGGTGATGCAAGTCGGCTAGCTCCTCCAGCAGTTGAATCCCTCCCATCGCACAGCACCTCACAGGTCTCTTCCCCCAGCAGGGCTTTGCTGGAGCAAGGAGCAGCTCACGAATCAGCTGCAGGTCCCTGTTTCGAAAAGCAGAGATACAGAGGCAGAGGAAGAAGGTGGTCTCCCGTGTGACCTGTCCTCGGAGCAAGACAATCACCTTCTGAATTCCAGAAGCCCTGTTCATGTTTGGGGATATTTTTTCGCCTGCATGGAATCGGAAAGAAGCCAAAGGATGGGAAATGCCTGCATCCCCCTGAAAAGAATTGCTTATTTTCTGTGTCTCTTATCTGCGCTTTTGCTGACTGAGGGGAAGAAACCAGCGAAGCCAAAATGCCCTGCTGTGTGTACTTGTACCAAAGATAATGCTTTATGTGAGAATGCCAGATCTATTCCGCGCACCGTTCCTCCTGATGTTATCTCACTGTAAGGCCCGTAAGCATTTTGATATCTAATTTACGATTTAAAAATGCCAGCCTGTGTATTTGGGGCTTTGTATGCATCGGTAGGAGGGCATGGAGAGAGAGAGATTCCTCTTGCATGCTTGGCCATTTGGCAGGGCTGACATTCTGCTGCATTTAGAATTGGGGATTTTTATTCGCTTCCCCTGAACATGCTTAGATCCCCCCACCCCCCCAATCCCTGGGCGTTATTCTGAGAAACCTGTAGCAGATTCATCTCTTACTTCATCGGGGAAGGCACTGTGCCATACTTCATAGAACAGCGTGAAAATAGTAACTGTTATGCTAAACCGGATTAACAGAAGGTTTGTTCTGTGTGTGTGTGTGTGTGTCTTTGTGTGTCTCTGTTTGTTTGTTTTGTTTTGTTTTTGTTTTCTTTCAGATCCTTTGTGAGATCTGGTTTTACGGAAATCTCTGAAGGGAGTTTTTTATTCACACCATCGCTGCAGCTCTTGTGAGAAATATTTATATCATGACTATTTTTAATACGGCATATATTTGGAGTAGTCCTCTAGGAAAACCATCTCAATATTAATGTTGTCCAATGTGATTATATTTCTAAAAAGAAAGAGCAGTGGCAGGAAAGTGAGGGGGAGGTGGGTTTGTTTGCGACTTCACACCCACAGGGCAGGTGGATCCATGCACTGGTACATTTGTTAACCTGAAATGCTACTTGAATGGCTGGCTATCTATGAAGTTGGTGGAATGTTGCAACCATGATCCCAATTCCATTCCCCTAGTTTACTTTCATTTTTAACTTGGGAGTTGGTTATTTCGCCCTAGAGTTTTTGAATTAGTCAACACGGAGCCCAGCATAACATATGCAGTCAAGATGTTGTCTCCTGGGATCTGGGGCAGGCTGCTAACCGGTATGATTTACCATGTGGGGGAAAAAATGACACCTCAGTTCTTTCTAGGTACTTCCTTAAAATATCAATTCTCGAGAGACCGTTTTCTAATCTCATCTAACTTCTAACAAGTCCCCTACCAAGGAGGAAAAGAAAATATTAATATAGGATGGTGCTAAGAATTCCGCTTTGCTATGTTTTCAGTTGGCCACAAGGGAACCACATTTTTAGTCTTTGCTTGGAAATATTCAAAACAATAATATTGGGCTGAGAAATCGGATCTCTTCACAGGCATAATGTAACATGTAGGATTTATTCGGATGGATAGTGTTTGGCAATTGGAGTTCTAGTTCTCAGAGGGTTATCACGTGGGGGCCGAGAGGTCTCCCGGTGCTCAGGTGTCAGGCAGCAGGCTTGGCTTGGTGCTAGCCGGTTGGGAGAGGGATGGAATTAGCCAACTGTGGATCAACCGAGTTTGGGTATCTTAAGCTTCGTGATCCAGGACGCGAGTTTTTCACTAGTCTGATTCTTGCTATTTTGCTTTCCTACCTTCCTTGGCCATTTTGGCTGTTTGAGATGATATATGTGCATAAGGAAACAGCATGGAACTGAAATCGGAGAGACTATGGTTTAAATCTTACCCAAACACACACCAAAAATAGACACAGAGTTTCATGCAGATGACTACAGTGCACTGCACCTCAGTCTCCTTATCTGTAAAATGGAGGTGACAGCACATACTTTGAAGGGTTGTTATCAGAGCTAAATAAGATTTCAGTGGAGAAACACTTAGTAAAGGGTATAGCATATGTGTGTATGTTTTTATAAATGGTAGGGCTTATATTTCCTATATAAGGCTAAAAAGCTAGAAGTCATTCAGTTCATTGTTTTGTCTATATGAAATCCCAAAATGGTTTGACAGGTTCACCAAATTCACAAACTTGATCAGGTGTTTTGACGTTATGTAACGATGTTGGCTAAAATTCTTCGGGTGATGTATAATTGAGTAGATTATTTCTAAGGGTGTTATCGTTTTCATTGGTGGCTAGTGATGTGATTGGCATACAAGCGAACACATCGCACAAATTCAAAAAAGATTCTCCAGCACAGGAAGGGGTAAAGTCTCTAATGTTGGGATCGGTCCATAGGATAGGAATTTGCATGTGCTTATGTTGTTCATTTGTTAAATAAACACTCGGTTCCTTCAGAAAGCATCCTTTTGGTGTGTGCAAAAGCAGCTCCCTTCTCCTAGGACAGTTAAATAGAACCGTTCTTATAATTCTAGAAGTCTCAGTGCACAGCTACTCCTGTTCTGACAGTGGGGGGACGAGGGCTGTGACACCAAAAGCCTGGGGATCGACCTAATCAGTTACCCCCTCTCGTTGTCTTTGCTTGGTGGACCCAGCCCTGGCCAGCACAGATGCTGGACAATGTTATAGAAATAGCGTCCGGCTGCTGCAGGGTAATGTGATTACATGTACTTAGTCTCGCAGAGGAAAGCCAAGGGACTGGTTTTTAAATAGCCCACACAGAGTGTGCCATGCCCCTGTGCCCCATGCTCTGAGTTCCTATGGAACATTCCAGCCCTTATTGCTGAAAGCAGTTCAGGTTTCAGAAATAACAAAAGGGCGAGTGATTCTTGCCCCATGCGTCCTTAGCTAACTCCCATTGGCCCATCTCAACGTGGCAATTTTATGCCAGGGCTGATGGTATGCAAAACTGTTGGGGGGTGGGTCAAAGTTTGTCTCCGGGACCCTGTTTCTAAAGACTGTGCTCTCCATCCTTCCTGGCCAATGTTCTCCGCTTACTCCTGTCCTCGGGAGAAGGTCTAATAGGCTCATCGTCACTGAGGAGATCAGTGATAAGGGCTCAAACACGAATGTGACACAGTCACAATGCTTGAGGGAACGCAGGGATGGCAGACAGGTGTTCTCTGAGACAGGGCCATCCCTGAAATGACCCCATGGGCTGCCAGTCTTCCACTGGGATGTGAAGAACAAGGGGCCTTCACGCGGCCACCAGGTCAGGCCTAGATCATACTAGACATTGCTTGGGGTTTCCGTGAATTCTGATGGCATTTGTGAACATGGCTACCAAACTGGCTATTGTATCCTGAGAAGAGACAAACTCGGGAATCGATTCTGCCTGGTGGATGAATGAGAGCAGGTGGTTTCTTACTCTTGTCAGAAAGGAAAAAGAAATGTGCCATTCTTATCATTCGTCCCAGCAAGCTGATTCTCTGATGCTCCAGGTGCTTTAGCAGACCTTCCGTAGAAGGCATGATGAGGACTTTGTGAAATGGCAGCCTAGGTACCGAGGAGAACAAGCACAGTACTTCAAGTGACATGGAGTGTTTGGGCAAAGAGCCGGGTAGGCCATAGCTGGCAGTATGTGTTAGAGAACAAGAAAAACAAAACCTACACTCTGTGGAGAGAAGAGGAAGAATAAAGCCACCCAATAAAAACGCATCAGGTTAGCTGCACAAAATATTTTTTATTTCATTTATGGCTTTGACAACAACAAACCTTTCTTGAGCAAATGCGATTTGCTTCCTGTTTTCCATAAGGCCAGTTTTGTAGCATCACCACTGAGAATGGTAATTCATTCTAGTTTGCTCTTAGTGGAGTCCGCAGTTTAGTGAAAGCAATTTAGAGAAATGGGTTTTCACACAGGACAGTCCTGCTCCTTCTCAGCTATGAACTGCAGTTCCCAGTGAGGCAGGCTCGTGACAGAAGTAAAATTCAAATGGAAGCGAATAAACATGTAGCACATTGCTGTTCATTTGTGATGTAGTTTAATGAACCAAACCCCTACAACTCCTAAATATGTGTGTGTGTGTGTGTGTATATATATACATATTTAGGTATGTGTGTGTATATATATATATATATATATATACACACACACACACATATTTAGGTATACATATTATATAACATATATATAAATATGTATACATATATACACATGTATATATACATATTTATATGTGTTTTATATATAAATATAAATACATATTTATATATTAAATATGTATATATATGCATATTTCAATGTAACCAGAAAAATACATATTTAATACATATTTTTATATATATAAATATGTGTGTATACACATATTAATATGTGTTATATATATTTTTCTCTCCAAGAAAAAAAAAAAAGTAAAAACAAAACAACAAAAAAAACTTTCAGTCCTCTAGGCTGTTTTGTCTACAATGCCTCAACTACCACACCCTTGGCTGGCATACACACACACATATATATATTTATATACACACACATATACATATTTCTTTCTTTTTTTTTGGAGAGGTTTTTGCTATAGGGTGCATGTGCTCACCAGACAGACAGAGAGATAGAAAGCGAGAAATCACCCCCCAGGGGAGATGGCCATGCCGCAATCCCTTCTCCTCCATTCTCCTCTCAGGATCTTGGGCACGCACGCACACACGCCTGGCGTGAGTTTAAGCCACCGGGTCCGGGACTCGAACCACGGTCGACTACGTGGGAACCCAGCGACATAGCCATTACGCTAACTGCTGGTCCCACACACATATTTCAATGTAACCAGAAAAAATGTTTTAATCTTATTCAAAACACAGAACTGATCTTTCAGAAGGGAAAATAATATTAATTTTAAAATTAATCCATAATCAACACGTAAGCACATAGTTGATAAGAAATTAAAAACTAAGAGCAAGTGGAAAGGTGAGCAGCATAACAAGAAAAACAGGAAGTCCATCCTTGCCAAGGCTTATCATTGAGTCGTTCAAAATATTACTTGTCCAGGAAAAAAAAAATCCATAGCTTAGCTTACCTTGAAAGTAATCTCCATCTTTTCCTGTTCTTCTTTATATTACAAGAAAAATTGGAGCAATCTTTAGCAAGCGCTCTGCCAGACCTATCAGCTAAGAGGGCTTCTGCAGGACTCTTTTGCTGCTCACAGATGAATGCATTTTGGTTTGTGCTCAGCTGATGCTTCTGCAAAGGATTGAAGAGTAAAACTTTCAGTCCTCTAGGCTGTTTTGTCCATAATTTGCCCTATGACCCATAGACCTGATTTTTAACTTTTTAATTAATTAATTCTTGAAACTGTTTCCAAGACCATCTTCTTTTTTCCCCTTCCCCCTTATGTTGTTTTGCACTCACAGAAGAGTGACAGAGGCAGTGAGAGGAAAAGTGGGATGGCCACCCCACAGTCCTTTCTCCTCCATTCTCCTCTCGAGATTTTTGGGCACACATGCCCGGTATGATTTTCAAGCCATTGGGTCCAGGACTCACACTGCAGTTGGCCACGTGGGAGTCTTTTTTCCCCTTCCCCCTTATGTTGTTTTGCACTCACAGAAGAGTGACAGAGGCAGTGAGAGGAAAAGTGGGATGGCCACCCCACAGTCCTTTCTCCTCCATTCTCCTCTCGAGATTTTTGGGCACACATGCCCGGTATGATTTTCAAGCCATTGGGTCCAGGACTCACACTGCAGTTGGCCACGTGGGAGTCCAGTGATGTAACTGCTACGCCACCTGCTGGCTCCTGCAAGATCTTCTTAGTTAGGGCTTGCTTTCTCTGAAAGCCTATTTCCTCCTCTCCGTTGTTCTGGCTGAG